CCCAGGCTGGGTGCTTGTGGTCGGGTTCCCGGCTGGCTTGTCTCCCACTTCCTTTCATTTGTCTCCCACTTCTTTTCATTTGTCTCCCAGTTCTTTTCATTTTTCACCAACCAGTTTACTGTTAGGGGTTCTCAATTCTTTCTTAAGATGTGTCCGCCCTTTGTGTCACTGCTGGTGTCCGCCCGTTTCCGCTGGCCATGTAGCATTTCTATTCATTTGTCCCAGGTCTGTAACTTTTCCGCTGGATATGCAACATTTCTATTCATTTGTCTCCCAGGTCTGTCGGTGCCGCCCTTTTCCGCTGGCCATGAGCGTTTCTATTCATGTGTCTTCCAGGTCTGTAACTGGTGTGCGCCCTTTTCCGCTGGCGATGCAACATTTCTGTTCATTTGTCTCCCAGGTCTGTCACTGGTGGTGTCCGCCCTTTGCCGATGGCCATGTAGCATTTCTATTCTCCCAGGCTGGGTGTTTGTGGTTGCGTTCCGAGCTGGCTTGTCTCCCACTTCTTTTCATTGTCTCGCAGGCTGATTGCTTGTGGTCGGGTTCCCGGCTGGCTTGTCTCCCGCTTCCTTTCATTTGTCTCCCAGGCTCGGCGCTTGTGGTCTGGTTTCCGGCCGGCTTGTCTCCCACTTCCTTTCATTTGTCTCCCAGTTCTTTTCATTTGTCTCCCAGGCTGGGTCTCCCAGGCTGGGTGCTTGTGGTCCGGTTCCCGGCCGGCTTGTCTCCCACTTCTTTTCATTGTCTCCCAGGCCGGGTGCTTGTGGTCGGGTTCCCGGCCCCACTTCCTTTCATTTGTCTCCAAGGCTCGGTGCTTGTGGTCGGGTTCCATTTGTTTCGGGCTGGCTTGTGGATGAATGACCGGATTGGATTTCGGTGGCGTGGCAGCGATCTCTTTGTTCAGTTGGGACGGAGGACATACGTCGGGCACCAACATTCAATTTCATGTCACATCCTTCGCTCCTCATGCTTTTACGTGGTCAGCTCCCCGCTGATTGAGCAGCATGACCAGCATCATGTTCGCACTTGAAAAATAATTCCCCAACCGGTTTACTGTTAGGGCTTTTCAACTCTTTCTGAAGATGTGTCCGCCCGCTCTGTACTGCTGTGTCCGTCTCTGCCTTGCAATCCTTTGTTTCCCAGCTCTGGACGTCGCAAGCTCTAGTTTCGATTTTGAAAACACAAACTGTTTGGGGTCTACGGTGGTGTAATTCAAGACTTTTTCGTTTCTTCCTTGCTTGCGCTTGTTGGGCAGCTGGGACGGATCGGCTTCTGGTAGAGAAAACACCAGAAGGACATGCTCAATTAGCTTGGTGTTTGATATTTAAAGGCTTACGCCTGACAGCCGGGCGCCGGCGAACTAGGGTAAGGTCGAGGTCTTCTCTGTCTCTGGCTCTGTCGGTTGGCCTGCAAAGCGAAGCTATCTGGTGCGCATCTTCGCCTTAGGTTGGGCCAAGTTGGGCCCATGTGGTCTATGTTGGGCACATCCTGGACCCATGTCGAGCCTATGTTGGGCCTATGTTGGCCCCATGTTGGCCTATGTTGGCCCGCTATGTTGGGCATATGTTGGGGATATGTTTGCTATCTTGGGCCTATTTTGGGGATATGTGAGGCAATTTATGTGGAAAAAATCTTCCGATACAACTTTTTACGATTTTTCCTTCCCGCAAAGCAAAAACCCTGTAAAAACCTACGTTTTTTTGACATCGCCAAGCTGAAATTCTCGGCTGCCGAGGGGCCCAAAACCCTGTAAAACACAGTGTTTTTTATACCTCACACACACGATACACTGTAAATTACAGGGGCATCAGTGAACCGGTGGTCCCCCCGTTTTCATGACGAGGGTCGGCGGCAGGGGGCGCGCCCGTATATAACCTTCGGTTACCACCGAAGGCCCTCCGGGCAGGGCACGGGCTTCGTGGCCGGCGCCCGGATTTACCAGGCTACCGCCTGCAGCCGCCGACCCCCAAGGGATAGAACCTTAGCGCTAGCCTTGCTTTAGCCAGAGAGATTTAGCCGTAGCCTTTAGCTTTAGCTTCAAGCCAGACGGCCCCTAGCAAGATTGCGACGTGGATTGTCCAAGATTTTGCCATCCCAATTGATCTACATCATGGGGTTTTGTTGTAGAAGGGAGTTGTAGGATGTCAAAGGAGGTTTTAGTTTCCCAGGTCTGCGTAGAAAATTGTGAACCTATTTTCTTCCATTGTTGTAATCATGCTTTTGTTAGGTTTTCCGCTGGATGCTTTTCCAAGAATTTTCTAGCACTTCCTCTTGTATTTAGGTTCCCAGATTTGCCCAAAAATTGATTAACCTATTGTTAACCTATTTGATTCTAGTGTTCCCGGCCAATGCCCTGGAATTTTCCTACGAATGCTCTAGGCTTTGTTTAGATTTTGCTCTGGACGAGGTCCGGCCAGTGCCCGTGGTAACGTGAAAGGCTCTGGTAAGATTTTCGCATGCCTGTCAGGCGCCCGTGTCCGCGCCATGTGGCGTGTTGGTTCTAGGACGGAGCAGCGCAAACGGAAGCTCGGGCAGGTGGTGGCGAGGTTCTCGCGCCAGCGAGGGAAGAGACCGTAGCCATGTACATGCGGGCGGCACGCGCGCGTGGCGGAATGTCTGCAGTGCGGTAGGCCGGGGGGACGTAAGGGTGTGGAAGCGGGTGGTTCCACGGTAGGAGGAAGGACGTTGCCCTGGATGTGGGGAGGGTAGGGTTTCCTGGAGCACCCCTTGAGCAAAATGCAGGAGCCGACAAGAGCCCCCGTCACCCAAGTCGTCGGGTGAGAGGCAGCCGGTGTCTTTGTTATGCGTTTCCTGGGGGAGAAGGGCGCTGCCCATGGTGTTCGCTAAGTCGCGTCAGCCAGCGAGGGCGTTGCCCATGTATGTCCCTCCGCGCAAGCCATGGAAAACTGCTCGGTGTAGTTGTCGTGGGCGCCATGGTCTAGGGTACATTCAAGTACTTTCAGAGCGCTGTAGGTTGCTGACGCGTCGAAGCGGTAGGGCGCGGTACGTACTGCGGCCCACGACGGAAGGAGCGCTGTCCCGGCCAGGTGCGTTCCACCGGCGAGTAGGCATGAGTACAACAATGGAATAAAATAGGTTAGCCAAAGCCTAGAGCATTCCTAGCATCCAGTCGAAAACGTAACAAAATC